AGGCATGCCAGCCAGGTGAATTTAGCATATTTAAATTGGAGCTTTTGAGTCATACAGGAGTTCATGAGAAAAATGTTATTTTAAAAAATTGTTATATCTCCTATAGTATTTACACACAAATTAAAAAAATTGTTCCAGTACAGATATTTGTGTCTGAATGAATTTTGAAGTCTGTTGGTGTGGAAGGTGCTACATCATAAAGCAGAGTCAGGCTCACCTAAGCCTGGACCTACGATGGCAGCCTGGTTGGGACTCTGCTTCCTGATTTCGGGTTGGTTACAGGCCTTTACTTGGGAGCACTCTGTGCAAAGCTGTTTTGGGGGCCTAGGCATCTGGTGTGGGTGCAGGATGGAAGGATCTTAACCAATTGAGTGGAGCCTACATGGTCTGAATACTGGTTTCACAGTGTTGTCAATCTTAGAATGTCCTTTTTTTGTAAGATGTGAATGAAGTGTTGATGTCTCCACCAAGTGGTGGCAAATACATTTGGGACTTTTTCTTTTGGTTGATTAAAGTTGCATATGCTATGTGAGAAAGCAAAGAAAGAAAGAAAAGAGAGAAGGAAAGAAAGAAAGAAAGAAAGAAAGAAAGAAAGAAAGAAAGAAAGAAAGAAAGAAAGAAAGAAAGAAAGAAAAAAGAAGCATAGCTAGCTTTCCAGAATTTAAGAAAATAGAATGAGGTGTATCCTATCCCATTATGCACATTTTAAGAGAGTTTCAAATATCACTACACATGACCTAGCCCTCTGTCTCCTCCCAGCCCTGGGAAGAGGCCTGATGTGCTTTGGTAACCAGCTTTCATAGATGAGGGCACCGAGAATGGTAGATTTTGTGATTTGTGCAAGTACACATTAGGGGCTAAAGACTGATTAGAATCTAGGAAGTTTTACTCTTAGAAGAGAATTTCCCCCATAAAATCATATTGGTTCTACAATTTAGAAATAACAGGGCACATTTTGTAACTCTTCTTGGTAATTCGTGTCACTTGGCCTACACCAATGTACGTCCAGATTACTGTAGCTGCATGGGTTTGCCGTGATTAACATTCACTGACAGGACCAGCAAAGGCACCACACAGAGACATTTCCAACACTGTTCGGTTCATTTTTAAAGTACAGGATCTCTGAGTTTCTTTTTTTTTTTTTTTTTTTTTTTATTGCTTAAAGTATTACAAAGGGTATTACATATGTGTCCATTTTATCCCCCCGCCCTAGACAGTCCCCTAGCCTCCCCTATCCCCCCATGTCTTATGTCCACTGGTTATGCTTCTATGCATGCATACAAGTCCTTTAGTTGATCTCTTACCCCCCTACCTCCTGCCCCGCAACCCTCCCCGGCCTTCCTGCTGCAGTTTGACAATCTGTTTGAGGGAGCTCTGCCTCTGTATCTATTATTGTTCAAAAGTTTATAATGGTCTCTATTATCCATGAATGAGTGAGATCATGTGGTATTTTTCCTTCATTGACTGGCTTATTTCACTTAGCATAATGCTCTCCAGTTCCATCCATGACGTTGCAAATGGTAAGAGTTCCTTCCTTTTTAGAGCAGCATAGTATTCCATCGTGTAGATGTACCACAGTTTTCTAATCCATTCATCTACTGATGGGCACTTAGGCTGTTTCCAGATCTTAGCTATGGTGAATTGTGCTGCTATGAACATAGGGGTGCATATATCCTTTCTGATTGGTGTTTCTGGTTTCTTGGGATATATTCCTAGAAGTGGGATCACAGGGTCAAATGGGAGTTCCATTTTCAGTTTTTTAAGGAAACTCCATACTGTCTTCCATAGTGGCTGCACCAGTCTGCATTCCCACCAGCAGTGCACAAGTGTTCCTTTTTCTCCACATCCTCTCCAGCACTTGTCGTTTGTTGATTTGTTGATGATAGCCAGTCTGACAGGTGTGAGATGGTACCTCATTGTTGTTTTGATTTGCATCTCTCGGATGATTAGTGACTTTGAGCATGTTTTCATATGTCTCTTGGCTTTCTGAATGTCCTCTTTTGAAAGGTGTCTATTTAGGTCCTTTGCCCATTTTTTGATTGGATTGTTTATCTTCCTTTTGTTAAGTTGTATGAGTTCCCTATAAATTTTGGAGATTAGGCCCTTATCGGATATGACATTGGCAAATATGTTTTCCCACACAGTGGGTTTTCTCGTTGTTTTGTTGATGGTTTCTTTTGCTGTGCAGAAGCTTTTTATTTTGATGTAGTCCCATTTGTTCATTTTCTCTTTAGTTTCAAGTGCCCTAGGAGCTGTATCAGTGAAGAAATTGCTTCGGCATATGTCTGAGATTTTGTTGCCTTTGGATTCTTCTAGAATTTTTATAGTTTCCTGTCGTACATTTAAGTCCTTTATCCATTTTGAGTTTATTTTTGTGTATGGTGTAAGTTGGTGGTCTAGTTTCATTTTCTTGCATATATCTGTCCAATTTTCCCAGCACCATTTATTGAAGAGACTATCTTGGCTCCATTGTATGTTCTTGCCTCCTTTGTCAAATATTAATTGAGCATATTGGTTCGGGCCGATTTCTGGGCTCTCTATTCTATTCCATTGATCTATATGCCTATTCTTGTGCCAGTACCAGGCAGTTTTGAGAACAGTGGCTTTGTAATACATCTTGATATCTGGTATTGAGATCCCACCTACTTTGGTCTTTTTCAGGATTGCTGCAGCTATTCGAGGTCTTTTTTTATTCCAGATGAATTTTTGGAGAGTTCGTTCTAGATCTCTGAAGTATGCCGTTGGTATTTTAATGGGAAGTGCGTTGAATTTATAGATTGCTTTGGGTAGTATGGACATTTTAATGATGTTGATTCTACCAATCCATGAACACGGTATGTTCTTCCATCTGTTTATGTCTTCCTCTATATCTTTTTTCAACGTCCTGTAGTTTTCTGAGTAGAGGTCTTTTACCTCTTTAGTTAAGTTTATTCCTAGGTAGCTTAATTTTTTTGGTGCGATGGTAAACGGGATTGTTTTTATAATCTCTCTTTCTGAAAGTTCACTATTGGTGTATAGAAATGCCTCGGATTTCTTGGGGTTAATTTTGTATCCTGCTACATTGCCAAATTCATGTATTAAGTCCAGTAGCTTTTTGATGGAGTCTCTAGGGTTTTGTATGTATAATATCATGTCGTCTGCAAATAAGGACAGTTTTACTTCCTCTTTTCCAATTTGGATGCCTTTTATTTCTTCTTCTTGCCGAATTGCAATGGCTAACACTTCCAGTACTATGTTGAACAGGAGTGGTGAGAGGGGGCATCCCTGTCTTGTTCCTGTTCTTAGGGGAAATGGTGTTAGTTTTTGTCCATTGAGTATGATGTTGGCTGTGGGCCTGTCATATATGGCTTTTATTATGTTGAGGTATGATCCTTCTACTCCCACCTTGCTGAGAGCTTTTATCAAAAATGGGTGTTGAATTTTGTCAAATGCTTTTTCTGCATCAATTGATATGACCATGTGGTTTTTTTCTTTCAATTTGTTTATGTGATGTATCACGTTTATTGATTTGCGGATATTGTACCATCCTTGCATCCCTGGGATAAATCCTACTTGGTCATGGTGTATGATCTTTCTGATGTACTGCTGGATCCGATTTGCTAAGATTTTGTTGAGGATTTTGGCATCTATGTTCATGAGGGATATTGGCCTGTAATTCTCTTTCATTGTGTTGTCTTTACCTGGTTTTGGTATTAGGGTGATGCTGGCTTCATAGAATGAGCTTGGAAGTGTTCCTTTCTCTTGAATTTTTTGTAGTAGTCTGAGGAGGATAGGTTTTAGTTCTTCCTTGAATGTTTGGTAAAACTCCCCTGTGAAGCCGTCTGGTCCTGGGCTTTTGTTTGCTGGAAGCTTTTTGATGACTGCTTCAATTTCTTCCATAGTTATTGGCCTGTTGAGATTTTTAGATTCTTCCTGATTGAGTTTTGGAATGTTGTATTTTTCTAGGAATTTGTCCATTTCCTCCAGGTTGTCTAGTTTGTTGGAGTAGAGCTGTCCATAGTATTTTTTAACAATCATTTGTATTTCTGTGGGGTCTGTTGTTATTTCGCCTCTATCGTTTCTGATTTTGTTTATTTGGGTCCTCTCTCTTTGCTTCTTGGTGAGTCTGGCTAGAGGTTTGTCAATCTTGTTTATCCTTTCAAAGAACCAGCTCTTGGTTTCATTGATTTTCTGTATTGTTTTTTTGGTCTCTATGTCATTTATTTCTGCTCTAATCTTTATTATCTCCGAAACATTAAATGTAAAGATTTTTGCTTACGTAAGCATATGCTAAGTTAGAGCCATAAAAAATGCTCTTCTCAAAACTGGGCTTTAAACTTGGCCAAAGGTTGCTTCACCTGGCAGATTACTCAGAGCCTTCCTTTGCAGGGAAATGAAACTGGGTTTTGTCCCTGGAGCAACATAAATAAGACAGAATGTGCCATTAGGGACAGGAGCTGGGACTCTGGAACATGCTCCTCTGCTCTGTGAGGGAACACAGCTGCTCCCTCTCACAGGGGCAGTTCCGGACAAGCCCGGAGTTGGTTTTGTGATTATCTACTTCAGTGATTCTCAACCTTCTGGCCCTTTAAATACAGTTCCTCATGTTGTGAACCAACCATAAAATTATTTTCGTTGCTACTTCATAACTGTAATGTTGCTACTGTTATGAATCGTAATGTAAATATCCGATATGCAGGATGGTCTTAGGCGACCCCTGTGAAAGGGTCGTTCGACCGCCAAAGGGGTCCCGACCCACAGGTTGAGAACTGCTGATCTACTTGTTGTTCGACAACTCTGTGGTGAAGAGAGTGATAGCTCATAATTGGGTTTATTTTTGCTCATCCACAGTTCACGTATTTGTAATTATGGCACCAAAATACCTGAGTGTGGATGGAGACTCATTTTAAGAAATGTGACGGTTATAATTACACAGTTGGTTGTTTTCTGTAGGGATAGAAACAGAGGGGCTGTCAGAAGAGACAACACGGATTTTGTGTGTGTGTGTGTTTGTTTTCAAGGAGCATAGCAGCCACTGATCATGAACCAACAGATGCCAGGAAATCCTTCCCTTGTTTTGATGAGCCCAACAAAAAGGCAACTTATACAATATCTATCGTCCACCCCAAAGACTATCAGGCACTTTCAAATATGCCGGTGGAGGTGAGTATTTTTTTAAAAATTGTTTGTTTATGAATATAGTTAGTTTAAAATATCAGGTAAGTTACCTGATTTGCTATGAAAGAACACTGCTGAATTCTAAAATTAAATGTGCTCCAGTGGCTTATTTAGAGGTGTCAGAATACATTTCCTTTGAATTCCTAGAAGTCTTTATCGCAGGAGATCACAGTCCAGTCAAAAAGCCACACTGGGTTTTCTAAGTTAGAGAGAATACAGCAGGCATACACCAGCTGGGCTCTGCTTTACTGAAAGAATGACAAATTAATGGAAAAATAAAGGAATTGAAGACTGAAAAATATTCAAGGGCCTCATCACTATTCTTGGTTTGTATTTGAATATAAATTCAGCTTTTAAAATAGAAATACTGCAAAATATCATCACTTAAATATTGGTGTGCAGAAGCCAATCCCAGAGAACAGTGTACCCATAGATTTTCTGGTGAATTAGACATGCTCTTTAAACGTTTAAAAAATAGGCTACAACAAGCTCTGTTTGTATAATCTATATATACAAAAGCCTGAGCGACCATTATGACTGGTTGCTATGATGATGCACTGACCACCAGGGGGCAGATGCTCCCACAGCCAACTGGTGGTCAGTGCACTCCCACAGCCAACCTCCCGTGGTCTCTCCCCCAGCAAGCTGGCTGGCCAACCTCCCGACCCCCATTGGCCCAATCAGGAATGGGTGAGACAGGCCCTGATCACCAGACAGGTCGAGGGACCCCACCCATGTATGAATTCATGCACTGGGCCTCTAGTTATTAACATAAGATTCTTTCCTCTGTTCTTGCTCCTTATCCCCATAATGGGTAATGTAGTTAACCAAAATGTCATTACCTCAGCCCAGCTGGTGTGGCTCAGTGATTGAGCATCCACCCATGAACCAGAAGGTCACTGGTTCGATTCTTGGTCAGAGCACATGCCTGGGTTACAGGCTTGATCCCCAGAAGGGGACATGCAGAAGGCAGCCAATTGATGTATCTATCTCATCAATGTTTCTATCTCTCTATCCCTCTCCCATCCTCTCTCTCCAAAAAATCAATAAAAACATAGTAAAAAAGATAAAATATTATTACCTTAAAGTTGAGGTATATTATATCTTAAACGTTTGACATGTAAAAGGGTCAAGCTTGTCCTTAGATATAATTTTCACCTACTTAATATCAAAAAGACAACCTGCCCAAATTATATCCCCCATCCTTCTGGTTTACTATTTGAGATATCACCACTGAAATTTATCCATCTTTATTATAAATATTCCTCGAAAAAGCCACAAGAACAAACTAAAACAAACAAAATCTTAAGAGGATTAAAAACTGAACTGCCACCAGCTATCTATGTCCCAGTTTGAATTAGTTTATCAACTTTTCTTCCAGTGTCAGGCACCTGAGCAATTGAGTTTTGATTGGAGAAGAAAGAGGACAGGATAAACTTAACATATGAGACGCCAATGCAGAAGACTGGATCAGAATAAAATGTTATTAGAATGTCTTGGCATGGGAGGTGGAAGGTGAAAGTGGGAGGAAAAAGAATGCCAACTTTAGTAACCTGCTGAAGACCTCCCCATGTGACCTTTAACTTTTGCAGAATATGCTTCTGGAAATCCTGGAAAGAAGAGACTATTCTGAATCATTAGGAGATCAAAACTAATGCCAGTAGGTTTTTATTGCAGAGCATATTACTTCCCTGGAGCTCCAATGCACATGTGTACACACACTTGCTTTGTGAATTCTACTTCAGCCTCCTTTGCTTAATCCCTTTTTAAAGCTTCTCACTGGCCTGTGACTTACTGTGTGGCTGAAGGGCATGTGGGGATGTTTAAACAATGGGTAGCAGGAGTTGGGCAAGTATTCATAGATGGAGTATTAGGACTGGTGATTGGCAGTGGGGGAAGCAAAGCTGGCATGGAGAGAAAACCAGACAGATGGGATCAGTAGCTGCACCAAGCAATGGAATCCTTCTCTCTCCCCACAGTGGGGCAGTGACTTTAGTGACCATACCTTGGGTCTTTGTTGTAGACAACCAGACATGGACAAGAGAACCCAACATGCTGCTGTGCCTGGTACAGCTATTGCCCTCCTGCACATGTGCAAATCAGCAAATACCTACTTAGTTCTTCCTCTGTGCAAGGCTTTGGACACTAGCCTTATCTTCTTTAAAGAATCACAGTATCTCCTCAACATATGGTCAGTGGGGAAAAAAGGGGGACATATGAATACTTTCAACAATAAGGATTTTAAAAAATATTATGGTCAGGATTGTGTGCTTTATGTCGAAAGATAACTAACTCCTGTCCAGTTTATATCACAGTCAGAATTATATTCTCTGAGAAGCTTTATACAGTGTATGGTTCAATCACTCTTTCACAGTAATGAAAATAAATAAATTTTCCTATAGCCTTTTCAACACTATTTTACCCCTAAAAAGAAATTTTACCCCTAAGCTTTGACAAAGGACTTCTGAGTAGAAAGTCAAGTTCGGAGCAATCATTTGTCCTTGTACATGATTGACCTTTTGATAGATAAAATATTATCTTTTGTTTTCAACAGAAAGAAGAGTCAGTGGATGACAAATGGAAACGAACAATTTTCCAGAAGTCTGTCCCCATGAGCACTTACCTGGTGTGCTTTGCTGTGCATCAATTTCACCCCATAAAGAGAACATCAAAGAGGGGAATACCTGTGAGTCACATTATAGTTTTAAAAAAAATTATCACTTGTGCCCTTGTGATTCATTTTCTATTTTTTTGAGTGTTTTTTTTTTTTCAAGTGACAGACTAGAAAAGTTACCCAGGTCTGCGAGATTGATGGTACCCTGAACATAAAAAAATGTAAACTAAATACGGGTGAAAAATAGACAAACACAACAGACATCAAAATGGGTAGCCTCAGTTTATTGCCCAGTTTAGTAAAATGGTTGAGTATCTCTGTTTGGATGGGGCCTCAGACGGTCCAGAGAGGGAGGAGGAAGCCAGAGGTAGGCCAAAATCCTTTGAGTGACTAACAGTGAGAGGTTGTTGGGGCCATTTCTATAAGCATAAGTGCCAGTAAGCATTTTATTAAAGTGTAAGAAAGTATAAATACTAAGCTTATTTTTAATCAAGATAACTAATTCAATACTTCTCTTTTAAAAAACTTAATACTTTTACCTAATCATTTTTCTCATTTTGGAGGCCCCCATTTTGCTTCTGTCCTAAAGACTAGGCCTATCATTCCACATCTGTGCCTTTGTGCTACATAATAATATATATTCTCATAATTTTTGATATCATTTTATAAGGAAGAAATTATCACCTCATTTTAAAGATGAGAGAATTAAAATTTAATAATTTTAAGTAATTTGTTCAAGATCACTCAATAGGCAAGTGGTGGAGACTCAAAATCCTCAAATCTTCCTCAAATACTGTGCCTGCTATGCCTTCTGAAATATGATATTCTGAAAATATCTTTACCTCCCTGGCCATCACGTGAAGAAAGGAATGGATTTCTCTATTACTCTATTTACTGTAAAACTAGCTCCCAGGGAAATTTACCTTAATGTTAGTACAGTAGGGGTTGATACTGAGATATCCTAAACCTAGGTTTTCAGTATGCTGCCTATACTGTATCCAAATTATAGCAAATGGAGGAATATTCATTTTTCAAAGGGGTTGTCTACATCCAACTTTTGCCTTTCCTTTACTACATATGTTGCTATGATGCTCCCTTCAAAAATAGTAAAGAACACTCCCATTGGCTAAGAGATAATATTACTGTGTAGCTATACCAGCTGGGGGAGCCATTAGAGCCTGTATAAGTTAGTGAGCTGAGCTCTAATGATGGGTTTCACTATGTAAAGAATTTGGAAGGATGTAATGGAAAATCTAGTTTGGAAAAGGTAGCCAAATATCTTTTAAGTGGTAAATAGTTCTTTTTTTTCTCTCTTTTTTAAAAATTAAATCTTTATTGTTCAGATTATTACAGGTGTTCCGTTTTTTTCCCCCCATAGCTCCCCTCCACTCGGTTCCCACCCCACCCTCTGCTCTTACACCCCCCACCCCACTGTCCTCATCCATAGGTTTACGATTTTTGCCCAGACTTCCCGCACCCCTTCCCCCCCGAGAATAGTCAGTCCATTCCCTTTCTATGCCCCTGATTCTATTCTATTCACCAGTTTATTCTGTTCATCAGATTATTTATTCACTTGATTTTTAGATTCACTTGTTGATAGATATGTATTTGTTGTTCATAATTTGTATCTTTACCTTTTTCTTCTTCTTCCTCTTCTTAAAGGATACCTTTCAGCATTTCATATAATACTGGTTTGGTGGTGATGAACTCCTTAATCTTTTTCTTATCTGTGAAGTTCTTTATCTGACCTTCGATTCTGAATGATAGCTTTCCTGGGTAAAGTAATCTTGGTTGTAGGTTCTTGGTATTCATCACTTTGAATATTTCTTGCCACTCCCTTCTGGCCTGCATAGTTTCTGTTGAGAAATCAGCTGACATTTGTATGGGTACTCCCTGGAGGTAACTGACTGTTTTTCTCTTGCTGCTTTTAAGATTCTCTCTTTGTCTTTTGCTCTTGGCATTTTAATTATGATGTGTCTTGGTGTGGTCCTCTTTGGATTCCTTTTGTTTGGGGTTCTCTGCACTTCCTGGACTTGTAAGTCTATTTATTTCACCAGGTAGGGGAAGTTTTCTGTCATTATTTCTTCAAATAGGTTTTCAATATCTTGCCCTCTCTCTCTTCTGGCACCCCCATAATTTGGATGTTGGTACACTTGAAGTTGTCCCAGAGGCTCCTTACACTATCTTCATATTTTTGGATTCTTTTTTCTTTTTGTATTTCCGGTTGGGAGTTTTTTGCTTCTTCGTATTTCAAATCTTTGACTTGATTCTTGTGCTCCTCTGGTCTGCTGTTGGATCTCTGTATAATATTCTTTATTTCAGTCAGTGTATGCTTAATTTCTAGTTGGTCCTTTTTCATAACCTCGAGGGTCTCACTAAATTTATTGGCGGTTTCTAGAAAATTCTTGAAAAACCTTAGAAGTGTGGTTTTGAACTCTATATCCTGTAGTTTGTTTTCCTCCATTTCTGTCATTGGTGACCTGTTTCTTTGTCTCCGCATTTTTTATGGTTTCCTGTGTTGATAGAGTGGCTTTCTATGCTAGGTGTCCTCTAGGGCCCAGTGGTTCAGCCTCCCCAATTACCTGAGGTGGACACTCTTGGCGTACCCATTTGTGGGCTTTGTGCACAGTCTTGTTGTAGTTAAGCCCCTATAGGGCTCAGGGCTCAGCCTCCCCAATTACCTGAGGTGGACACTCTTGGTGGACCCCTATGTGGGCTGTGTGCACAGTCTTGTTGTAATTAAGCCTTGATTGTTGTAGGTATCACTGGGAGAAATTGACCTCCATGCCAACTGGCTGTGAGAATCAGCTGTGTCTGCAGTGGGAGAACGTCTGTGCTGGAGATACCCTTCTGGGGCAAGACTTGCTTCAGTGGGGCTCTGGTGCTCACTGAGTCTGCCCCCTGAGTGTGTCCGTTATGGATCTGAGGAGTTGTAATCTGGATGGTCCCACTCTGACCACTGGGTACACTGGCTCTTGGATCTCTAAGGAGGTGCTAATTTAGCCTCTGCCTGAGGCTACCCAGCAGGAGCTATGGAGAGATCTGCAGATTCCTCTTCCTTGTTTGGCATTTGGAGGTGCCCAGATGAGGCCCAGCTGTGAAGCAATGCAAGCTGCTGTGGGGCCTTGGGCCTTCTTTTGGATGTTCTGGGTCTCTTTGACCCAGCTGCAGTTTGTTAGGTAATTTTCAGATTGCCAAGGGCCAGCCCATTCATATGCAAAAGCCTCTGCACACAACTTGGGTGGGGCAGGGTCTCAGGGAATCAACAGGGCAGAGCAAACCACTATGGCTGATCCTCAGTCTTACCCTAAGAGGCCCTGGGTCTCAGTTTCCCGGTAATCACTGCAAGCACCTCTGAGAGAAAGTTGCCCTCGAGTTCCTACCCATGCCAGACAGTACAGTTTCTTGCCATATGAGTCTGGGTCCCCAGAGCCCTGCCCGGAACTGGAGTTCAGAGCAGTCGGGAGCTTTAGACTCCCTCCCGATTGAAAAAGACAATCGTGTCCTGAGTTGCCAGCCATTTCCACATGTGCCTCTGTACCTCTGCACTTTACTTCCGCAGCTCCTCTCAGTCTCAGTGTGCTTTTCTCTTTCCTTCTAGTTGTAGAATTTCCACTCAGCCAGCCTTCCTGCGGTTCTGGATGATGTCCGTTTTGTCTTTTAGTTGTATTTTTGAAGTGGTTGTGCAAGGCAGCAATTTCAGGTGTTTACCTATGCTACCATCTTGGTTTCCTTAAGTGGTAAATAGTTCTTAAGTGCGTCTTCTTTCAAAGCCGAGTGCATAACATTCTATCTTAAATCAGTGAAGTTTTCCTCTTTTGGGTGGGAAATGAAGATAATACTGTTGTATTGTGTTACTTTCTAGTCACCTGTTTGAAAAGAGATGAACAGAAAGCCAGACTGTCTTTGGATACTTACCAGAGACTCGAGGTGGGAAAACTTGGTGAAAGTGAGATGTGGAGCTGAGCAGAGTAGGTGCCCCTTCCTCTGCCCCATGCAGAGAAGACAGAGTTTTTCCTCTGGCAAAAACCTGTGCTCTTTTTAATTATTTACTTGGACAGAGCATAGCCGATAGTAGTAGTTGAACCAGTCATTATGTTAAAATGCCCTTGTTGCTCATGAGAAAAAATTATATTAGAAGACCTTGTCCTAAAAACTTGTTAAGAAAAATGGTAACTGAGTTGGAAAGTAGCTCAGAAGTATTTAAACTTTGCATATTTCCTTTTTAGAATGTTAGATGAATTACATTTTGACTCAATTCTGAAAAAAAAACAGAATAACTTGAAGAGTAACTTACAGTAATTTATCAACAGTGGAGTCCAGCCATTGGTGGATTTTTTACAGCTTTGTTGGCAAGAAATCTATGCCTGACGTCTTTTTCAGGGTTAGTTGAAGTAAATAAGGGTTTTAAAGTAAATAAAATTACCAAATTCTATGCCCCAAAAACCAAAATACCCTGAACTGTATAAAATGTAGAGCTATTACATGATGTTTTAATTATGTGAATTAACTCTTGAGCGAAAATGTGCTTCTCTTGCTCTTGCAGGAGTCATATCATGGGAAAGAATATCCCCAATAGGTATGTTATTAACTTTATAGTTCAACTCTAAGTCTCTTATTGGGATATACTACAATCCATTTTTAAATCCAGAATAATGTGAGTTATTAATATATTTTTAAGTTTTAAAAAGTATAGGTTTAATGAACATACATTATAAAATTTTGGAAGAAATAAAGCAGATAGGAAAAACAAAGAGTCCCATATTTCCATTTGTAAAATTATTTTAAACTAGAGGCCTGGTGTACAACATTCATGCATGGGTAGGGTCCCTAGGTCTGGCCAGTAATCAGGTCTGATCTGGGCCTTCCGGCTGCCAGCTAGGGCCTTCCTTCATTCTGTGCCACCCCTTGGTGGTCAGTGCATGTCATAGCAAGTGATAGAACTCTCGGTCTCCTGATCGAACTCCCACGGGGACACTTTGCATATTAGCCTTTTATATATATACTAGAGGCCCGGTACACAAAAATTTGTGCACTCGGGAAGGAGGGGGGTCCCTCAGCCCGGCCTGTGT